CCCCAAGGCTTCCTGCCACGTCCACTTGCCTCCTATGTGTGTATTAATCACCATTTTAGCTAAAATTCCTATATACAAATATATTTTTATGTACAAGTGGAACTAGGTGAATTATAAAGCAAATCCTACACATGTGATGATGATTTTCCTAATTTTATCTTACTTTTGGGTGAAATGTTGATGGTCAAAATAGGTGTTAGTGACCGTCAACAGTGGTAATGGTGGGAGGTCCATGAAATTCTTTCCAAGATGTTGCAACCAGATACAAGTTATGTCAATTTAGGCCTCATTTAACCAAAGTCACACATCTGGCAGCCAGGCAACTTACATTTGGTGGCGGGTTATTCACATGGTAGTCGGGGTGTGCAGCGAGGCAACACCTTCAAATGTGCAAATATGTGCTGAAGTCGGTTCAGCAACTCGGTATCTGACAACCCTTCCTTCGTCACTCTAGCCGGGTCCTCCGGTCTAAAGTACTTGAACCCATAATCGATTCTTTGTTGGAGGGACTAGATCCGGTGCCCTACCCAGCTAACGGCGACACCTTCTCCAGTCAGACCCCTACAACGCAGTACGGTGATTTGCGCAATATGGGGGCGGATGGCGTCATACTCTGCCACACCTAGATTTTCCTGCTCCCAACGGGAATTCACCCTAGGGGCATCAGCAGAGTGGGTCTCCATGGATGGCAATACATTGCCAGAGTAGAACCACTTACTCTTCCAATTCTTGTTGGACTCCTTCAGAGTATAGCTCAAGTACTCTGTCTTTTGCCCTATCCTAAATTGGAACCCAGCCCCACCAATCACATCTAGGTTAGCGACATCAGGATGGGGTTTTAGCTTGAAGAAGTAGCGGAAACAAATGAATAGAAGGGGGGATTCAAAGAAAGCTTCACAAAGATGAATAAAAATTGAAAGCTGGAGAATGGAGTTCGGATTAAGATGATTCATACGGATGCGGTAGTAATACAACAATCCATGAAAAAAAGTCAGAGGCGGGTAACCCTAATCCTTTCTCTACAAAGGGGATGAATGACACTATCTCGCCCTCCTCAAGAACTGGGACACGATGGTTACCGGGGGCTTTCCACTTGCCGAGATGTTTCTCCGACAGCAATCCATCTTTGTGCAACTTCTTTAGGGCGTCTTCCTTCATGGTCAACTCCTCCTAGATTTGTATCTCGGTGCCATATGGATCCACGACGATTGATTGCTTCTTGCTTCCCTTTGGGGAAGGATTGGCAGCGGTCGCCCTCTTTGATTTTGCCATTGATGGGAAATTCACAAATTTTTTCACTCGCATTCACCTGGCAGCGGCTAGGGTTTGTGAAGTGAGCAAAAGGCAAGAGCACTAGCAGCGGCGGTGTGAGTGAAAGGGTTGCAAACCCTCAGTTACTACGGGGATAATTTATAGCTACAGTTGCAACCCTTTGACTTCTCCGTCGCCACAGTATGGACTCAACAACTGCGCTGTTATAGGGCTACCGCTACGGCCCACATGACCCTTTAGCCTCCACACCATGCGGTTTCACACCAACTGTTGGGTCGCCATTTTGGTATAACAGCCACACTGTTTAACAGCATTCATATTATAGAACATTACAGATTCATGACAGATCATTGAAGAATACATATATTGGATACAAATTTTCTCAGCATATTACAAAGTACACAAGTCTACTCGGCCATGACAGAGTACTCATACTCTAAGTGCTTCTCAGTAGGTACTTTCGTACCCGATGCACCTAGATGCAAGAGGGAAAGAGTAGTGCATCCAGGTAGATAACAGAAGTACAGTGTGTCCTAGCCTAGAACTTTGGGTAGTCAGTCAGACTACGAACATTTGTTGGTTGACTACCCTTTGGAGCATAGCTACCGCAGGAGGCAGCCTGCCGGCTAATATGCAAGATGAGCTCTACGCACATCTTGCCACCCAGCCAACGCCCTCTGTACACATTCGGGTCAGAGTTCGACCCTTCATGGACAGACGTCGACAGGCACGCTCGAAGAACTGACATGGGACTGCTGGATGAGCCACTCTACCAGCCGTCACAAGGATTCTTCCAGGCTACTCTATTGTGCACAACTGCGGGTTTAGCCTACTTCTAAACCCTATCACAAGAATTCTTCTAGTCACTACAACTCTTGGCTAGGCAAGCAGAGTACTCCCGGGGGCTGGTCTACTTAACTCACCACCATATTTGCAAGCTACAAACTCCGAGCTACTTTGCTTCTTCTATAACTAAGGTTCAGGTGCTCGCTAGGAGGGTTTTATAGGCTCCACGGTGGTGTACATGGACTAAGCTCACGAGAGAGAGAGCAGACAAGTTCCTAACTCATGTAAAGACTCACATGCCGCATTACAGGGGTACAATATGTCTCACTACACCTTTTTTAGTGCGCAGAAAGCCTTACTTCAGCACATGTGAAGCAATGGTGCAATGGAGGCATCTTTGATGGCATCTTCGATTGGATATCCCATATGCCGTAACTGCCTTACATGTGGCTTTGACAAGTCTTACATGCTTTTATCACAAGCAGACAAGACAACAATAATTGCTTACACTCGCATCCTCGAGTATATTCTTTTATGATCTTTGTCTTGAGTACAAGTACTCGGTCATAGGCTCGGGGCTGCAGGGTACATATCCTCTACGGATGTTTTTTCTTTTGGAGCCTCTAACTCTTTGTTTCAAACATCAAGAGGCTCGAGGGCTACACTCAGTGGGTGCACTTTTCTAAAAAGCGCACACCACTTGAAGACTTTAAGAGCACCTCATGGCTTCACTCATGAAAGCACTTGGTCGACACTTGTTCCTACTCGGTAAGACCTGAAGGAATAAGAAGGCAATAAGAAGGCTTACAAGTTCAACCATGACACACTTGGGGGCTTGACGGACCAGGGTCCTTGGGGTTCCCCATAGGGGTTACTACTCGGATGGACCCTGGGCTGGCCCACGATCTGTTGAAGAACACAAGACAAGGTGACGTGGAGTTCAAGTTATTCAAGATCAACTTAGTCGGCTTACTAAGAAAACTAGATTTTGTAATAGGACTAGGACTCTTCTATTGTAACCGGCTAGGACTATATACGTGCCCTTACTCTCTCCCTTATATAAAGAGGTAAGGTGCACCCCCTTGTACACACAATCATACCAATCAATCCAACGCAAAAGACTACACGTCGACTGGACGTAAAAGCTATTACTCGATCATGAGGGCCCAAACCAATATAACCCGTTCGTCTCTTTGCGTTTACTGTCGAGTTCAGCATACGCCGAAGCCCTTCAATCATTGTCCCGGATAGCCCCGTAGCGAGTTGCCGGTCATCAAACACCAACAAAGCATAGGGTTGTTAAATCCTAGAATAAATTCAGGGAAATGCGAGCACCGTGCTAAGTCGAGGACTTAAACCCGGGTAGATAGGTTCCACCATAAGGAACCCAACCCACTGATATATGATCAGTTCGCCTGCTCAACATTGTTCGAAGGCTAGCCACACTACATTGCTTGGTCAAAGCCTCATTATTCACCCAAGAGGCACGCTAGAAGTCTTCTCGCCCGAACGTATAATCGATGGCAGTCGCGCCACCTCTCTCGTCGGTGGTTGTGCCTCCCTTGTCAACCATGTCGCTTGCCCTGTCGACGGTCCCCCCCCCCGTTACCTCCCGCACCGGTGGACACACCGTCTGAACCACCGGTATACACAACCACCTCCTGTGCTGCCACGCTGCCTCCACTGCTGGTGTTGACACAAATGTTGTTGACATTGAGGGAGCCGAAGCACGTGGATTGTTCATTTGAGCGAGGTCATAGACAACGGTGTGCTTTTCACCATGAACTTCATTAGCGTAGTTGGCGACAGGATCGTGGTCCTAGGCGATAGTCCTTAGATGCAACCTTGTCATTTGCTTAGATCATGCTTGCTACGCTGCCGGTGTCCAGATCGCTGCAACCATAGGGTTATTTTTGCGCCAGGCTCTTCTACATCTCCATTCATCTACTTAGGCCTTGTTTAGTTTTCAAAAAAAATTTTGCCTCCTACAGTAAAAGAGCATATTTGGACACATGTATGGAATACTAAATGCAGACAAAAAAAAACTAACTGCATAGTTCTCGGCAAAATCGTGAGACGAATCTTTTAAGTCTAATTAGTCCATGAAAAGCCTTAAGTGTTATAGTTATTTCTTGATGAGATTAATTAGTATCATTAGATTCGCCTCAGCTCTTTCTTCAAAACTCCATTCATCCGATGTGACACCCAAAAATTTTCACCTCCTCAACTAAACACACCCTTAGTAACTTGTAGTGATATTTCTAAAAATGTAACAAAAAAATGCTATATCGAGGCCTCGTTTGGCACGACTTTTCCAGCAGCTTTAGAAATTGTTTTTTTGCTAAATAGGATAAAATATAAAATATCTCCTCAAGTGAAGCTTCTCAAAATCTGCTATCATAAGGTTGGATGCTGGATGCAATTAAAAATACTAGCTTCTCCCAGTTCGATCTCTCTCAGCTCTCAAATCTATTATGAAAAGTTGTTTATATCAAATGTTTTTTTCAAAACAGTTCTAGCTCTACCATTAGAACCGCTTGTAGAGCCCAAATAAATGAAAAAGATGATCCACCACATAGCAGTCCTTAGTTAGCGCTTCGATTTTCCCGTGTTATTTCACAACAATATTTTTTGGATGATATTTTGTAATTTTCACAATTATTCGGTGCTATAGAACTAACTTTATCACTGTATCTAGCAAAAACTACGTAGGAGTATATCGAAGTGCAAATAGCAAAAACTATTCTAGTACCACCTAAAAAATATGAAGGGGTTTCGTCCAACAGGTTTTGGTGCGCACGCCCAGACTCCGCATCGCCTATCCGACTCGGCTGGAGACTCAACGGCCTCCGTCGCTTCCTCGGGAGGTTAAACAAGACCGGCTTCGAATGTCGAAAACGGCTCGTATCCGGCATTCCGGCCTGGGGAGCAAGGGATCAGGCCTACTTCATCGTTCGACCAAGCGACGCCAAGAAACCAGGTGCCCGCCTGGACCGCGACTGCGATGGCGGCGTCGGGACGTGGAAGATGCAGAGAGCAACCTCGAGAAGTGCCTGCGCGTCCGCGACGTGGGGATCGGGATCCAAATCAGCAACCTCAACCTGCACATGGACAAAGGCAACAACAGCGGCAGCGTGGGGTGGGTGATACACGAGTACACACCATCACGCGCGCGGCGGCGCGCCGCCCTGCCCGTCGCTCGTCAAGATCTGGCAAATTGGCTTCAGCGGCCACGGGCGGAAACGCATGCGCTAACAAGTCCACCAGAGTAGTAGTCACGCGCGCGTCGGCGCCACAGCGGCCAGCGGTTCATCAACGCTTCCTTGTTCGGCGATCGAGGGCGATGCTCAATCACGGCTCCTCAGGCGTGGATGAGGATACACTTGTCGGGGGCCCAGATTGGCATGAAGAAAATCAAAGAGAAGTACATGGTTAGGTTCAAGACCATGGTGACCAGCGACTCCCAGAACACGGCTTAGGTGGGCACTTAATGAGTACACTTCTAATGCAACGCAACATAGCCAAAGCAATTGTTGTAAAGACAGTTTATGATGTGCATGTATTTTCCCTGTCACAGAACATGCATGTTTGTTCTTGAATACAATATGAAGTGCTTGCCTTGATGAACGTGTGTTCCTCTTTGTGTTGACGTTAAAAACATAAAAAAAAACCCGTGGAACGCACGGACATAATTCTGGTTATTGAAAAAAAATCAAATCAAACAGTGAAACAGAGGTACCAAATATGACATCTGTCAACCGACTTTTTTTTCAACAGAAATGCTAACGCTCACCCGACTTCTTCCGATTAAAACAAGCGAAGCGAGGCGACGCTCCTCCGTCGCACGACTCCGACGCATCTCTGTCTCTCCGTGCTCCCTGACGCTCCTCTCTCTCTCACCGATGCTCCTCCCTCTCTCTCTCTCCCCGGCGCCGCGGCGACCTCCACCCGGTGAGCCCCACCTGCGCCCGCGTGCGAGCTCGCCGGCCATGGCGGATCCGTCGAGGTAGGTCTTCTTCTCCTCCTCCTCTTCCTCCTCCTCTTCCACCTCCTCCTCTTCCAGGATCTGTGCCGACCAGAGACAAAGACGACGACGGCAGTGGCTAGGGTTCCGGCGAGCCTCTTCCCCAAATTTTGTCCTTGTCCTTTCATAAAAAAAATGTTTCTTGTGATTTGTAATTTATGCCGACACAGCCGTGCTCTATGTTACTTGTGATTTGTGTCGACATAGCCACGACCAAGGGCGGGGCGGTGGACGGCGGCGGCGGGGGCTAAGGTCTGAAGGTAGAAGAAGGCTAGAGGCCAAAGGTGAAAAAAAGTTGAAGGTTGTTGGATCTTTATCCTACAGTTTAAAAAAATCATTTATTAAAATTACATAAAACACACATCTCTCCAACTAAAATATTCATAAGAGAATCCTTAACAGGCGTACGAAACAAATATCGCTCGCCCCCGCTCCCTTCATGCGAAACAAAACTTTCCGCACGCGAGACAGCCCTAATCTCGCCGCCGGGGGTGCACGCGGTTTCCCCGGTCTCCCTCCCTTGTTCCCCCACGTCTGGCTCCACAATCAGTCCTCCGCTCCAAATCCCACGCCGGCGCCGCAGCATGGAGACCTCGGCGGTGGTGCGCCCGGCGGCGCAGTCGACGTGGAGGTCGACCTCCCGCATCTGGAGCGGAACCGACTTGCTGCCCAGTCCCGACTGACCACGCGTCGGCGCCGTGGCCGCGCTGTCGCTGCCCCGTTCTTCCCTGTCTCGCGCTGCAGGGCGACCTCGGCGCGGAATGATCTCGGCGATGCCGCACCCGGCGGCGCAGTCAACCCGGAGGTCGACCTCCTGCATCTGGATTCGGTCACCGCAGCTTCGTGCCAAAGGTTCGTGTGCTCCTTTTCTTAGGGTTGATTTTCTCTCTATATATATCTCGTTGATTGATGCTGCTGTTGCGCTGGCCTCCACTGGCGCAGGCTGGGGAAGGCATCGCTGAGTGCGAGCTGCTGGTTGGTACATTCAGAAAGAATTTTGATTCCTCAAATTTGAATTCATATGCTTGTTTGAGAGCACATTTTGATTGTAACCAGAAAACAAGACATATCAATTGGGCTCAATAGCAGTACAGCTTGTCATTTTTCCTCACAATATCCATTGACGTGATAAGTATTGTAACGGCTCCCTTATTAGCTAACCAAAATAATGTTGGAAAGTCAAACAGTACATCCTATACTATCTATTTACTAAACCTTTTAATTTCTCATTCAGTCATCATCAGTCTCTTAGGTTGCTGGAATTATATTATGGTGACATGTCCAACGTATTAAAAATGTCTTTGGCAAAACATACTGTCGTTGTTTTGATCTCTTCCCTGCATGTTAGATTTGGTTCAGTAAATAGATTGTACGTGATCGCTGGTGGGGGACGACGAGCGCACGGACACGGTGCTGCTCAACTGATTGGGGAGTTTCTCAAGGTAGTTATCCTCAATGCATTGTCATCTCAAGTTTTCAACGGTTAAATTTCCATTTTGGATGAATGTTTACGTGCGTCTAATTGGCTGTTGCAATGATCATCTGTTGCCATATGGTTACTTCTCAAAAGAAGCTTTGGTTGCTGGTCAATGCGGTTACTTCTCAGTCATGTGTTTGGGAGATATGACTACTCATAATGATGAAAACTGTGTAAGAAGATTATTCAGTGACATTGGAAAAGTTTTGATCTCCTAAAGATAAATATTTTGATGCTAAACTGGCTTGAGGTATGCACCTCTTTTTGTATGTGAAACCGAAAATAGAGGCCATGACTGATGGTGGAGTTGCTGCTGGGCTTCCTCGGGACCTTGCCCTTGGTCTTGCATCTCTAACAGATTGTGTTCATTCTGTTAAGATATGTTGTGATCCATTCTTTGCATATGCTGTGTGATTCTTTTAAATCATCATCTCCTGGTAGAGGTTTGTATCTTGGTTCGAAAAATTCATTCGATGCAGGTGAATGAAGACAATAACTCCTCCAACAATTCACCCCGCATTTCTTGATTTCTCTCCTCGCCGCTGTTTCTTTTATCCTGTGCTAAATTTTCTGAAGCTGATGATCTCCTTTATGTGAAATAAGTGATAAACCTGTGCCAAATTTCTTTCATGAAACTTTAAGTGCAAAGGTTGTTAACTCCAATTCCAATCCAGAAATCTTAACTGCATGCAGAACATTTCTTATATTACTCCAGAGAATTGTTACTGCTGCTGTTCATTTCTTTAGCTTCTTTGGCTTGTACTTGGCAACCTATCCGTATTGTTGAGAGCTGAATGCTAAGGAGCGAGAGGTGGAAGTGTCCAGCGTGACCTGCACTGGTGCCAAGGTGGTGGTGCGCGTGACCTGCAGGTGTGGCCGTCTGATGGACCAGCTTCCCTGTTCATCTTCACCTTTAGACTCACTCCGATGACGGATCAGATCGTGCTGTTTATTTCTGTAGTGTGTTCTTATGGTAATCTACTAGAGTCCGAACTGAATTCAGGATAAAGTTAATTGTACTGAGCGCTGAACTGTGTGTGCACTCATGTAGAAACAGCTTTGCCCTGATTTGCTGTAGGAACGTAGTTTCATGGGACATTTTTCTTTTGATATGTATACGTAGTTTCATGTTTTTTATATAACTAGTTCACGCTCGTGCGTTGGTACGGAATAGTTAATATTTTATACTAAAACATATAGATCGTACGATAAGATAACAATACTGTAAAATTAAATATCAACGTTAAAGTGACATTTAATCATTGCTCGTCCCCATTCTCTTCGTGCGAAACAAAACCTTGACCGCTCGCTTTAATATCAGTATTTAATTTCATAAATTTTGTTTTTTTAGATTAAATATTATTTTAACATTGATATTTTCTTGTCGTACATTTCATACGATACCCACGCATGGGCACGAACGTATGTACAGAAATCTGTCGACCCGACTCCCCCTGACGCAAACCCTGGAATCGCCGCCGCCCCAGGCCCCCACCCGACCCCGGTAGTCCGCCGCCCTCCCCATTCCTCCCCCAACCGCACTCCTCGAGTCCTCGGCGACCCCGCTGCTTGCACTGACTGTACTGCCATACAGGACCTAAGCGTGTGCGCTCCCTCTCTCGTGACGACGTCTGGGCGCCCGCTGCCGCCGCCCAGGTGCCTAGGTCTCCACCGGTTCCTTCGCCCGCTACAATCTCCGCCAGGTACGCCCAGCCCTTCTCTTCCGTTCCTCGTGTGCGAAGCTGAGCACCCAAACCCTAACTTAAGCTATTTGTATTCGGATCTGATCTACTCCGTAATTACAAGTGTGTACATGTATTATTTTCTACTAATTTCGATATTTTTTTTCAAAAGTTATCGGGTGTACACCCATGTCCTTTAGTGCGTTCACCCTTGCTTGCTTGTTTGGTTCAGCTGAACAGTGACGTCGTGAGTTTATATGCTAGTGTAGAGCAATGTATATTGAACTAGCCAGAACCCCCGCACTTCGCGCGGGTAGATACAATGAGAGTGATAGGAGTGTATGAACTCATTGTGTTTGGATGCAGTCACATAGAAACATAAAAGTTTGGTATATGACCATTCATGGTTCTGTAAATGTGTAGGACGATGAACTGTATGTGTATATATTTGCAGGGAAGGTATGTCTTTTAGGGGCAGCATCGCAATAGCAGCCACCCGCAGCAATCTCCCTCGTCCACGCTCCCAATCCATGCAACCACCACACCAGCGCCGCCTGCAGCCGCCGCCCTATGCATCACTCACTCTGCCGGCACCACCCTCACCTGCACATCGCCCGCATCTGCCCTTAGTTGACCATAAGGCGCATGAATCTGTCTTGTGTTTTGGACCCAGGGCAATTGCTTCTTATGTGGATACCCGAAAGCACCTATGAAAACACATGGCAAAAACGATTTGAGTTAAAAAATAGCCCTGTACAGACAAAATAGCTATGGATCATGTCATGACTCATGAGCAATTGTGGTGGGAAAATTCATTACCTGATAAGACGTAAGGTGTGACATGAAGACTCATTTCATCGTTGCCCAAAGCAGTACCAATGTTTTGCAAAACTGCACATTTGGCAAGGCAAGGCTGTCATGGAAATGTGTTCCACCAGAATGAGCATGATCATGAAGGATGATTAGTTTAGGAAAAAGAAAGCATCCATCACATTGTAACCATCTATACATGAACCTCGTAGGAATGGCATATTTTCCATAATGGGAACAGTATAAATGAGCGTATCATAAAAGGAAATGTAAGCATTGCAGATCGCGGCAATGAAAATCTGTAATCATGCTTACACTTCATTTTAACTCAGACCAAGGCGTATTTTTTGGACATACGCTCATCGTTCAGATAGGGAAGTGAAAGCATGAAGAAAGTATAGGCATGGCCAATAAACAAATTTATGTGCATTAAAATGTAGACTTGGATACAAACAGAGAGTATAGGAATTTATTGCTTCTTTAGTTTTGCCTTTGCGACAATGTTACTAATCGATATCCTCGCTGACCAAAGGAGGAAATCAGCACGTGGCAGTGTAGATCCACAGTTCAGTGTTACATTTGGAATTATTTTGAAAGTAATAGCAAGACAGATGATATTCTGTGATAAAACACTACCCTCCATATTTGAGTAAATGATATTTAATGAGAATGTGGCAGTATGGGGAATACCTGAATGTACAACATTAGGATCGTGTCAAAAAGCAGTTGGAAAACAATCAGGCTATGAAAGTTTCAATGATATACACCTGGCAACTGAAGAACTGCATGAGAAAAAATGGGAAACAAAATTAGCAAATATGGTCTGATGCTTAGTATTAAGCATTCCAATTTCCACTTCATCTTTTCAGTGGAAGGAATAAACTGTAAGGTAAAAGCATCCCAGTGGGATAACCTATAGAAGTAATGGTAAACTACACAGATCTTGTATAAGGCAATACAAAATATTCTGTAGCATAATACTGTATCTAGTAATAAAAGAAATTGACCAGAGGAAGTAATCATATAATTATAGGATGGTAACACTATATGTTGTATGATTCAACACCAGCAATACCTTGGCTCTTTCGGAGATCAGTTAACTCCTTGTTTAGCTCTTGGGCGCTATGAGCATGGGGCAGCTTTATTGATCACAAAATCGAAACAACAGGCACAGAGTTCCAGAACCTATTGCGTGATGTTTTTTTTCAACCAGGCAATCGATATTTAATAGGTAGAGCTGCATGTAAGACATCACATAATTTGGTAAATTCCTGAAACCTCAATGTAATTTAGGAGTTGTAAGGTTATGTGTTCTCGAAAAGGGTAAAGAAACAACAGATCATGTAATATTCTATATGAAATATCGAAATATAATCCTCTTGTACAGAATTATGAAGTACGGAGCTGAGCTGTTACTATGCTATGGTCATGGTTGTTGGATACTTTTTTGTTCCAATATGACTGGAGAAAAGAAAAATCGGTGTCCATATATGTAGGAGGAAATGATTGCAGATGTTGACACTGTACATGGCAAGAGCAGAGTAACCTAGCAAAGCAGAACATGGAGAGCAGTCTTAATTATTTGTCAACTAAGATTCATTAATTCCCTTGCACAAACCATATATGAGGAAACCTAGCGGGCAACATCCATGAAGATGGATGGTTCTGAGGTTAAAACAGTCCTGCAATTCTTACATGAAGATAGCAGACACTATAGAGTAAACCTGAAACAGGAAGACGTGCATTAGAGAATAAACAATAAGAGGTGATTGATGATAAAGAAAACTAAGGGTAGTGAGAATACCTGGCCAATCTGGGTACATCGATTGCGTGTCTCCTAAAACATTTCAGGCAGTGGGTTTACATCTAGGGTGGTATTTTCAAAACCAATAAATGTCTATCTGCAGCATACTGATGTAATTATGAGGATGTGGAAAGAGTGAAGCATAGGCATTCTTAGACAAAGGAGTGCATGACCAAAAATGAAAACCAAATTAACAAACCTGGTCTGCTCTTTACCATCAGGAATTCCAAAATTCCTACATTGAGGAAAATGTCAACATGGTTTCAGTAAATAGAACAACATAGTATTTGTATTTGTACTGTATGATACTGATTTCTATTTTTTTGTGTGTGTAAGCATCTCGTTCTTGCAAGGAATCAACCGTATGGAAAAAGTACCTCATTAGGATAACCTAGAAACTAATAGGATAATTAATCTCTTATAAATAAGATAGAAGATTCAACTACATAATACAATACCGGGCAAGAAGGGAAACACAATTTTAAAATGAAAATCTGGAAGACTATATAATTGCTACTGATATGTAACTGCATATATATTGGATCCACATGTGCATATGTTTGGAAAAGAAAAAAAAAAGCGAAAAGACAGAGCATACCTCGTTTTGAGGCTCCAAAGGGATGGCGCTAGTTCAGCCGCCGTGCGAGGGAGAGGGCCGTGCCCGCATGCGTTGCTGCGCAGCGGGGATGTGTGAGGACGAGACTCATGTTCAGGCTCTAGGCGGACGGTGCTGTTGCAGCTGCCGTGCTAGGGAGAAGGCGGAGGCGAGGGCGTTGCTGCTGTGGGGGTGCGCGAGGGAGATGGCCGCAGGCAGGGCGGCGCTGCTGGGAGGCCCCGCCGTGCTCGTGGTTGTGCCGGCGAAGGAGGGTGCGGAAAGGCGGCGCCGGTGCTGCGGAACCCGCAGGGCAACGCGAGCTGAAGCGAAGCCCGCGCAGCGAGGAAGCAAGGTATGGAGACGACGGTGAGGAAGAAGGTCGAGAGCTCTGGTCGGCCGGGGCATGGATGTGGATTTTTTTGTCCATTGCTGTTGACGGGGGATGGGATAAGGATTGGGCATGCGGGGGCAAGCAGGAAGGGGCGGACACGCGGACGAAGGCATGGCAGGCATCCGATGGATTGGGGCAGGATCGAACGGATGAGGTGGATAAACTGTAGATCTACATGGATCTGGGTGAGGATGACGGGTGGGATACTGTTGATCTACAACGGAGATGTGCTCACGTTTAAGGAGGTTTATAGATATCCAGATTAGCAAATTAAGAACTTATATGTTAGTGTACTTTATTGATGTTTCAGGCAATGTATGCCAAATATCTAGATTAGCAAATTAATCGCCATAGATGCGTGATGCATAATAGTATAAGAGGTTCTTTTTTTCTATTTGAACTTGCCAAATCCTATGCATGCTAGTCAGAGTAAATGATTTGTTGGTTTCCTACATATAGAAGGTTATAATCAAATCACTTGTGAAATGCCTCTCAGCCTATATGGCTATATCTTTGTTCAGTTAATCAACATTGGCGGAGCGTGAGGGAAAACTTAGCAGGGGCCAACTTCCCAAATGTGAAACTATGCAGTTGAAAATTTTATGTGTTAACAATTAGGTGATTAGCAAAGCATCTCAAAATACAATAATAAAAAGTGCCACAACTTATCTCAGTTACCACTCAAATAGCCCCATCTAGCATATGTGCTATTCGGGTCATGGATTAAAGAGTATGCAAGCAAAAATAAATAGAACAAGGAAAGATAAATGAACCTACACAGTGGAGGCGCAGAGCGGGCGGCCAAAGAGCGTTGATTCAACCGAACTGTGGGCTGCAGATGCTTGCAAGCCACTGAAGGCTCCAGGAAAACTAGGTGGATTATATATTGGTTGGATTGAGTCATCTGAAAACACTTACATGTTAGGACAAAGTAAGAAACATCACACCAGTTCTTCAGTTTTTTCATGGTGACAAGGAGGGGCTGGAGCCTAGTACGACCTATACATGGCTCCGATAGTGTGAATCAATGTTAGTATTTTAGTGGTAAAAACTTTAGTCGTTGGTAATACTTTTTTTTTTGTTACTACTGTACCAATGTTTGGTTCCTCGAAGAGACCAGGAAATACAATCTAACTGGTTCATATTGTTGGTTTATCGTGTTTTTTGCTACTACAATATCTTATGTTATCAAAGCAAGGCTAATACATCGTGTTCTACTATTATAGGTTGCTGTGTTAAGTTCAAGCTTGTCACATGGATCCAACGCAATATTTTCAACCCAGGACATTCTCCATAAAGTTGTGGCCACCAAGTGAAAGCACACGTATCATGCTTGTTGAGAGGATAACAAAGAACCTGTCCTCAGAGTCTATTTTCTCTCGCAAATATAGTCTTTTGGGCAAGCAAGAGGCTCATGAGAATGCAAAAAGGATTGAAGAACTTTGCTTTGCCTCGGCTGATGAGCATTTCAAAAGGGAGCCTGATGGTGATGGGAGTTCTGCTGTCCATCTATATGCAAGGGAAACGAGTAAGATGATGTTGGTAGTCCTGAAAAAAGGTCCAAGGATTTCTGCAGAACTGGAGGCACCTGTAGCTGATACACCTCTTGCACCTGCTGATACTGTACTAGATATATCTGGTGGCAAACGTACTTTTATTGAGGCAGATGAAGCAAAGGAACTGCTGAGTCCACTTACCAAACCAGGAAATTCGTATAAAAGAATTTGCTTTAGCAATAGGAGCTTTGGTATTGATGCTGCCAATGTTGCTGGGCGAATTCTCGAATCAGTCAAGAATCAGCTCACAGAGGTAGATATCTCAGATTTTGTTGCAGGAAGGCCTGAGGATGAAGCTCTTGACGTGATGCACATATTCTCCAAAGCATTAGAGGGTTCTGTACTGAGATATCTGAATATCTCTGACAATGATTTAGGTGAGAAGGGTGTCAGGGCATTCAGTGAGCTCCTGAAATCACAGGAATCCCTGGAAGAATTCTATGTGATGAATGATGGCATATCAGAGGAAGCTGCAAAAGCTCTATCTGAGCTTATTCCTTCAACTGAGAAGCTTAAGATTCTTCACTTCCACAACAATATGACTGGAGATGAAGGTGCTATGTATATTGCTGAGATGGTTAAGCGTTCTCCAAATTTGGAGAGTTTCAGGTCCTCAGCAACAAGGATAGGATCTGATGGTGGAGTCGCATTGTCTGAGGCACTAGGTAGATGCACTCGTCTGAAGAAACTTGATCTTAGGGACAACTTATTTGGTGTTGATGCAGGGTTAGCTCTCAGCAAAACCCTTCTGAAGCTTCCTGATCTTGTTGAGCTTTATCTCAGTGATCTTAATCTTGAGAACAAGGGTACGAAAGCAATTGCCGTTGCCCTCAAACAGTCTGCACCACAGCTAGAGGTCCTTGAAATTGCTGGAAATGAAATAAATGACAAAGCAGCCCCAGCTTTGGCAGAATGCCTGGCAGCAATGCAGTCACTCAAGAAGCTGACCTTGGCTGAAAATGAACTGAAGGATGATGGTGCTGTGATTATTGCAAAATCATTGGAAGATGGCCACACAAATCTCAAGGAACTTGACGTGAGCACAAACATGCTGCAGAGGGTTGGAGCTCGGTGCTTTGCGCGGGCAGTCACAAATAAACCAGCTTTTGTGCAACTGAACATCAATGGAAATTTCATCTCCGATGAAGGGATTGATGAGGTGAAGGAAATTCTAAAGGCTGGTAAGAAATCCCTGGATGTGCTGGGCTCACTAGATGAGAACGATCCTGACAGAGAGCCTGATGATGGTGACGATGAGGAAGAGGATGAGGATGCCGAGGACAATGAGGACGAGCTTGATTCGAAGCTGCAGAGTGTTAAGGTTGAGCAGGATGATTGACCATCCTTAGGTTAAATAGCTTTAGCTACTCCAATAATCATCTGGATGTACACCATCTATGCTAAACTTTTAATTATAAAGAATGCACCGTGGCTCCATTATTTTGAACTGAGCCAAGTGGCCTGGTGATCTAGACTTGCGGTTCATTAGTGTAGCTTCCGTGGGAACTTTGGTATCAGTGTTGGAAGGGTCAGGTGAAACTGGGCTGAACTTATTTCATGGATCCTATTTATTACTTAGTTGCTCCAACTTGTTTGCTATTATGTTTTTGGGTGCTTTGTTGGTTTATTTGGGATCTGTGGTATTGAGGCATGTATGGCTGGTGCATATGTTGGTGTCGCCACAAGTAACGGATGAATTATGTGGTTTTAATTACTGACGCAAATTGATAGGCCCGCCGACTTGATGTACTAGTCGTTGGTTATTGCAACCAGTATGCCGAAGTGCTATTGCAGCATGGTGTTTCTAGGTAGGGAATATGGTGCTTTCACCTTTGATGGATATTTTCGCTAGAGGTCTAGAGCAATTAGTATCCCTAGCACCTCTAGTGGCTTTCCAGTTCATTTTCATCAATCTTTGGTTGTTGATATCGATCTTGCAGGATGTTGTGTTATTGTGAAGTAAATGAATGCCCTCAATAGCATGGCTGTTCATATTGAATTCTGATAGTTAAACAGGCAAGGGTGAATTTTTGTTGTACTTTAGGGAGCTAGTGATGCTGGATGATAGATAAGTTGGCAGCAGCAAGCTAGGTAGCAGCTTGTGCTGTTGTGTTGTGGTACAATGCATTTGCTTTTATCAGAGGGTTTGTCTGGTAATCACCAAGTGAATTATGGAATTATGTCACTACTTTGGTATCTCCAGCTAGTCTGGTGCTCTGATATCTGGATTTGGTGTCACCATAGGATATGTAGGCTTTTTTCTTCCCAAGAATGCATCTATTGTTTGATATGGGTCCTCTTGCACAACTTAATATTGGTGAGAAGTGCGAGATACTAGTATACTACAGCTGACATGTCTGGACTATCTGTATTGAGATGATTTGTAGACTTGTACTATAGTATATCTGATAGTCAATCTTTGACCATGTTGGAATTAGTTCTATTTCAGTTTATTGCAAGGTTCATGCGCACGAGCATATTCCCACTTACTAAGGAATGGAAAACTGGTTGGTACATTTTTACCAATTTAGGAAACCACTTTGTACAGACCCATATATCGTTTCTTTTATAATTTTTCTGAGGTAATGCTGACAATTGAAAAATACTCCTATACAGAAAATGTGCGAGAATCAGTGTTACTACTTGACCCTTTTTTGGGGGGTTTCAGTTGAAACCATTAAAAAAATCACAATTTAGGATCAATGCTACAGAGAGACGGGGATATTGATGAAGATGTTAGCCATAGAATCAAAGCAGGGTAAATGAAGTGGCGTCAAGCATCTGGTGTCCTATATGACAAAATGGTACCACAGAAGCTAAAAGACAAGTTTTATAGGACGACGATTAGACCTGCTATGTTGTATGGTGCAGAATGTTGGCCTACGAAAAGACGACATGTTCAACAGATAAGTGTCGTGGAAATGCGTATGTTGCGTTGGATTTGCGGTCATATACAAGAAGGGATCGAGTTCGGAACGATGATATACGTGATAGATTAGGGGTAGCACTAATTGAAGAAAAGCTTGTCAAACACCGGTTGAGATGGTTTGGATATGTCCAACAGAGACCTCCAGAGGCACCAGTGCGTAGTGGAATCCTAAGTCAGGATAGTAACGTGAAGAGAGGCAGAGGAAGACCGAAGTTGACTTGGATAGAGACAATAAAAAGAGACTTGAAAGGATGAAATATACCCAAAGACTTAGCCTTAGATAGGAGTGCTTGAAAAACAGTTATTCACGTGCCTGAACCTTGATAGCTTCTGCTGGGTTTCAACTCTAGCCTACCCCAACTTATTTGGGACTTAAAGGCTTATTGTTGTTGTTGATCCTTTTTTTCGTGGGTCTGAGTTGAAGTCATGAAAAATGTGTCAACTCCCAGATGTGTGTTTTGTTAATGGCATTAGGGTTGTATGAGGTTTGTCCCGTGATGTTTGGCATAGGAGTTCAAGACTGCTTATCGAACCTTAGTTCAGCTGTGAGAACTACGTGAGGAACCTGTGGATTGCCTTGCATCTTTAGAAAGCCAGAAGTCATTATTTTACTCTTACAATTACAAATCTTTGGTTTTATTATTCACCCTTGTAATAAGATAGTAAAAGGATTGCAGATTCCACTGGCACAGGATTTCAAGACTTCTTATGGGACCTTAGTTCAACTGTGAGGACTAAAATGAAGTTTGCAATGTTGTTTATGTATAGGTACAAGCCTTTGGTTTTTAATATTCACCCTTGTAACTTGTATAAGGCAGTAAAAGTATTTGTAGATTTGACAATCAGATGTATAAATGGAGTGTGCTAGCTGAAAGATACTAAGCATGAAGCAAGCGTGAATCAAGCATGATAGATACATAAGCTAAAAGATCAGCCTGGAAACAGTCTGCAGCCATGCGAGCTGCAGTGTTTACCTCAGCATCGGACGAGCTACAGCGATGTGAGACCATCCCCATTAATAAATGTTCAAATGGCTAGCCGTCGTCTTGGTGGTATGCTGCTTCCTTTGTGGCTAAGAAATACGGCAGTACGGGCCTGCTTGGAGGGTAGCTAAGGAACAATAGCTCTCTGGTCCTTGTATCAAACGCCTTGTCACCTTTTCGTTTCTGTTAAATTATTATTCTACTAGTACAAACGAACTTAAAAAGAAAAAAAAATAGAAATAACACCACAAACAAATAAAAACAAAAAAAATGCTTCGTTCTATTGTAAATTGTGTCAGATTGATTTTTTTTTTGTTTTGATGAGAGATGTGTTATTTTCGCAGTTAGAAACGGTCATGACTTCGTATAACAACCTGCATCTAATAGTTGAATGTTCAAAAGAGTCAATCGCATGAGATGGGCATATTTGGATACCATTGACTGTAAAATTTGTGTAATATAATCTCCATAAAAACTCTCGAATTATTGTAATAAGGCATATTTTGCACAACAATAATCATAGGAAACAAGTGCAACTAAACAAGAAAGCAAAGTGTCCTCAAAAGAAAGTGCAACTAAACAAGAAAGCAAAGTGTCCTCAAAAGATTATTTAGGCTAGTGCAACAGTACGTCAGTACCATCAAATATCTAATTCTGTTATCATTTTAACCTCTTGTTATTTACATTTTAGTTCAACAAAAGAAAGGAAGGAAGCATTTCAAATTTAGCTAGATGAAGTCCTTGACATCAAACTTTTCAAATTTAGCTAGATGAAGTCCTCAAACTTGGCGCTTTCTCTCATCACATCTTTTAAACATAAAAGTTAGGTCATTTCAGTTAAGGTGTGGTCTAGGCTGAAATTATTGACAATTATAGAGTTTTGTATAAAATAAATTTAACGTAGTAGAAGTATTTTTACTATTTGTACTAATTCCGTTCCAAAAAAGGTAAATATCATTTTTCGAGCATTCAAGAAAATATATATAAAAATAATATTTGTAATACGTAATAAGCATCATCATTAGATTAATCCTGAAGTAAATTTTCACAATAAATTTTTTGAGATACAAATGTTAATAAATTAAGTTAAATTTAGGATTAATTGACTCCTCAAGATTTATATTATTTTTTGGACGACTAAGTATTTTTAGATTTAACATACACTGAAGTTCTCGAATTCGAAGTACTGGAGGACCTAAACGGAAAAAAGGAAGGGATGGGCTGGAGCTGGTAAAAGCCCGTCCTCCCCCGCGGTTTCGGTCACCTCCTCGCTTTCCTCCTCACTTGATATCTCACGCAATCAGCGGGGAGGAACCCCAGACCCTAATCCTCTCCATCCGCGCCGCCGGAGGCAGCCGTGTGGGAGCTCGGTTCTCGGGGTTCTGCATCGATCTCTGTTATCTAGGTTTCTCAGATGGGCGATCTCAAGGAGGTTTTCCGCTCCCTCCAAGAACTCTTCCCTCAGGTGCGTACGATCGGTTCTCGTCCGTGTCTCGCGTACAGCCTTTGAGATGTCATGTGTGAAGGGCTGCAAAAGAAGTTTTTTTTTTCGTGAATGTATTTTTTTTTTTGGTAGCTGAGGGTACTAGGGTAGGTGACTAGCCCTAGGAGGCTAGGACACACATGGACTGGGGAAATACCAGTGGGATTAGGAGCTGCTTATCGCGGTGAGATTCGATTCGATGGTTTTGGAGAGATCGGACACGATTATTTGATGATTAGATCAAATTTAGGGGCGTTATCTGTTGGGTTTATGGGCAGCCTGAAATTGCAATGTTTGTGCCGTTCCTGGCTGTTTCCTGAGGTCAAATTTGCCTGATAACTCTTTTCTGCAGGTTGATCATCGTATACTGAAGGCTATCGCAATTGAGCACCGTAAAGATGTTGATTCCGCGGTGGTTACTGTCCTTGATGAAGTCATGCCGTCCATGGCTGGTTCGGCTGGAGCTTTGTCTACCCATCAAGAAGTGTTGCCATCTATGGATGATTCTGTTGGGAATTTGTTTGCTAATCGCAGCACACATGAAGTGGGAAGTTCATCATCTGCTGGTGAGTATGAAAACCAAACTTTTAGCCTTTTGCACCATTTTTTTCTTCTGAGATGACGTTTGGCCCCATTTGTACTCTAGTGTTAAAGCCTTAAAGGTGTTCTGTTAGGACCCCTTGGGATGTTTTTTACATATATAGTATTTGTACTGTAAGAGTAAAATAAGATATATTGATGATAGCTTGCATATTCTTGTGCACTGGTAGTATTTCCCTTATATTTTTTTAGTTATTATTACGAGGTTTACAATATGGTTGAAAGGTCCCCAAAAACACATGCTTGAAATTGTGTCATTTGGCCCACTTACTACTATACCAGTGGTGTTTAAACTTATTCAGTGCTCCTGTTACGTTATAGTAATTATTTAAGGCTGTGAGGTTGTACTTTCTTATGTGGGTAAATTTTATCTCTGAACCAGTCCACACTCAAAAGCTTGGTTCAGTTTAGAGATGTTCTGTGCGTAGCCCTTTTTGTTCTTCATTGAACCAAGAATATTTTGTTTTAGATATTGTTGCCATATATCACCATTAACATTTCTTGAATTTGCGAATGGGCCTCTAGCTGAGTTGGTTAGGTGATTCTAGTAACACTTCTCAGATCTTGGGTTCGACTCCCCGTGGGAGCGAATTTCAGGCTTGGGTTGAATATACTGGGGAGAGCTCTGTTCCACAGTCTCCGCCACCCCCCCAAAAAAAAAAAAAATTTCTTGAATTTACACTAACTGAGAACTGAGTTGGTTGTTGCCACAAATTAGGACATGATATACGTATTGATGAGGTTGATGTAAGTGTTCAATCTGCGCAACACACTTCTTCTGGGGAGGTCAAAATTGGCAAGCAAGGAAACATAAACAATGAATATGTGGGAAGACTTCCATCAATCGAAGGGGTCAGTGAGCAACTAAATCTACATTCTGATCCTATCCCAAATGGTGGTCAGCATGATTTGAATCCCAACCTTGATGTGCTATCTTCAAATACCAATCCAGAGAAAAAGTTGGCTTACACAGATAATGAAGTTGGATACGGTGGATTGTCGAGTGAATGTTTTTCTCAACCACCGACAGGGGAAGATGGTGGTGATATCCCACAATCCCATGATCAAGATCCTAATAAGATGATTCCAGTTGGGGATTACTTTCCCCAGAACACTTCAATGGAGTTCTTCAGTGGCTATGAGGACATAAATTTTGATGATGACCTTTTGCCTCTTGGTTCTAATGATCAAATATCTTCTGGAATTTTGGGTACTGAAAAAGATTCTTTTGCGCCTGTGCTGGATGTTCCTGGTCGAGATAAAGAAGAATCGTCCGCTGAGACTTCTGGATTTGTAGAACAGAAGGACACCAGCAATGTTGCGGATATGCTTCCTGATCTTAATTTGAATCATTTTGCTTCTACTGCTTCAACTCACTCAAGCCATTCTGTTAGTATTGAGTCTCTTGAGGATTCTGTTGCTGATGCCAGAAGCAATAAGGTAATGTATTATGCTTGCTGTGCACTGGTCTTTTTTATGCATTATGTAAATATTAATTTTCATTTGTACATTTCTCTACCATGTACCTGTCATGTGTGTGTGCGCCCACTAGCACTGGATATTAGTAGAACATTCATTTGGATTGATGGTGACTCCCTCTCTCTTTTTATCTTGTTTGGCCTTCCCTGAGAAATAAAGCGAGTATATTGGACTAAAAAGTGCATGAATACATGCCTAACCTATTTTTGTTTTGTCATGGTTTTTTGTGACAAGTATTTGGGATGAAATTTCACATGCTCAATTTTTCTCAAAAACGCCACATGCTCGTTTTTGACTGAACATGCCATATTCTCAAGTTTTTTACAAGCATAAAAGACCTGTACAACCACCATATTTACTAGCTGGGGTCATTTTTACATAGAAGAGGATATTCTACTGTCTTCTTCTGCACTAGGTTTAATAGATAGGTGTATCTGTGTGCAGCAATCAAGGTACGTTGAGATAATCATATTGGATTGTAGTTAATCCATTAGGTGTACTGACCGTCTAGGATGAAAAGGGCACAAGATCACCACCCCTTAGATTGATGAGAGCTACTTGAAGCCATCCTGGACATTAATCAGTATTCTGAGCCCTACCTAATTACATACTCCCTCCATTCCAAATTATAAGACGCTTTGGCTTTTCTAGATACATAGCTTATGCACTTAGATATACATTATGTATAGATACATAGTAAAAACAATATATCTAGAAAAGCCAAAGTATTTTATTTAAGCTGCTGCGGTATATTTTTTCAAAAGATGTATGTCTTGAAGTCGTTTATTTGGTTTCCTATTAGGATCTGTTTCTTTGTATATGAGCCTGAATTTTCTGAATAATGAGGACTGCCAATTATAGTTCCTCATCAAAAGTCAAAACTTCTATGCGAGCTATATTTCTTCTTTCACTTTCTGATGCTTTCTCAAGTTTTAAACATCACTTTGTATGTACAATGTGTACTCCAATGATTAACTATCATATTGTTGTTGAGGTTGGTGGCTCATTCTTGTGCTTTTGATATAATGCAGAATGATCTGTTACCTTCTCTAGAGTTGGTTACAAAAATGATAGAGGATGTTGAGCTTCTTGAAGAAAAGGCTAAAGTAGCCAAGCATGAAGCATCTGTTGCTGGGACAGGCATTCTGACCAAAGTTGAGGAGCTCAGAGAAATGTTAACTCATGCAAAGGAAGCAAATGATATGGTATTTCCCTCTGACCTAATATCTCATAAATCATCATTTTATAAAACCTCTCGATCTGCCTAGGGTCATGGCACAGGATATCTGACAATTTTTCTATCTACAGCATGCTGGCGAGGTTTTTGGTGAGAAAGCTATTTTAACCACAGAGGCACGTGAGCTTCAATCACGACTTCAGAGGCTTTCAGATGAGAGGAATAAATATCTGGTGATAATTGAAGAGGTATATTGTTTCTTTGGTGCTGGTATCACATTGGAGTTGGCACAATAACTATCATCCTGCATAAACTAAAAGTTAGTACTCTCTCTGTTCCAAATAATGTCACTTTGACTTTTTTGGTACATCCAATTTGCTATGTATTAGATACATAGCAAATTTGATGTACCAAAAAAGTCAAAGCGACTTATAATTTGGAACAGAGGGAGTACCTTTGAAGTTTGTAAAGTGTGATATTGAAGAACTGACACCTTTTAGTTTATATAGTTGCTATGTTTATTCGTGAATTTGGAAAACCTATATTTTTCTACTCTGGTTTGAGTTTCATACCAAAACATGGAACTGTTGGTCTGTTCAGTTACACTTTCCTTACTTTTTGTATGCAGAATTGATTCCTTTTATCATTTTTGTTTGATCTGACTTGATTTATACTTTTTTTGACAATCATCAATACTGAAACCTATAGTGTCCATGTAATTGATTGCATTACATTATAAAAGCTGAATTGATGCTAAATTTGATATTTAAATTTAATTTGTATAGATACGCCAAACTCTTGATGAAAGATTGGCTGCTGCACAACAAGAAATTGCAGCAGCCGAGAAAGAAAAGATTGAAAAGGAGGCTGCTGCTCTGGCACTACTTGATGAACAGGAAAAGACGATGAATTCTATTGTCGAAGAATCAAGAAAGCTGCAGAAAGAAGCTGAGGAGAACCTGAAGGTATTATCTGCTTCCTTTATCCAGTAATATGGGTTTTAAATTTTGACGATTTTATTTTGTGTTTTTCCTTGTTTTATAATCTATAAAACATGCTTCCCCTGCGTATAATAGATATTGATTTGTTTTATATCTAATAATATACTCCTGTGTATAATGGATGATATACTCCTGAGGTGAGGAGTACAGGCACGTATTATTGTCCACACATTTGTTTCGCAGGCAACATATAATATGATATATAAATTTGCAGAACAATTTTTTTTACAACAAACAATTGTTTACTGATGTTTATAATCAAATTGTTTGTACAGTTGAAGGAATTCTTGGTTGAGCGGGGCCAAATTGTTGATATGCTGCAGTAAGTTGTCATTTCATCTCAGCTACTTCAGTACTGTTAAACTGTTCAATACTAGTCCTGTTCAAACTTTGAATTGTTTTATTTTTTATCTTTCAAAGATTCTCATGAGCATACCACTCCACACATTAAGACGAATACCTGTCCTGTTCAAACTTTGAATTGTTTTACTTTTTTATCTTTCAAAGATTCTCCTGAGCATACCACTCCACACATTAAGAATAATACCTGTTATAATAGTCATTCAGATAAATGGGAATTGGAGCAAACATTAAAATAATTCTCATTTAACGATACTTATTTATTTAGTGTAATGTCTAACTTTTCAAGCCATGTCTTGTCTGCACTGTACAATAATGTACCACCCTGCCTGCTCAAATGATTTAGAGCTATGATAGCAGTAGACTATCTTTGAAGTGTTTATGAGCTCTAAATCTGCAACCAACCCTGTGATTCATGTCCTTGACCTCATTGCAGAGGTGAGATGGCTGTGGTCTTTGAGGACGTTTCCTTGCTGAAGCGAGTGGTGGATGAGCACCTATCATTGAGCAAGTTGCAGCGCTCAGCTATGTCGAGCCTCTCTTCTTCACTACATTCTTCTCATCACAAGAGCTGGAGTTCCTCGGATAGGACTACCGAAGCTATCGAGTCTCCAGATAAGTGCACCCTTGTTGAACCTGCAAGCCCAGTGTGCAAAGATCTGGATGGCGACGAGTGCGCTGTGGAAGTGTCAGATGGCAACGACGCTGGTAAAGGCATTTTGAAGTGCGTGAATTCCAAGGAGGATGGGGATGGATGGGAGCTTTGCTGAAAGATGTTCAGGAATAGTGGCGTTGCCAGAGGATGCTGAAGTGGTAGAGAATATGAACTAGCAATAATGGTGTATAAACGTTTACTAGTGCGGTGCTAATCTAGTCGATTTCATATGAATCGGGGAACTGTCGTGGACTCACTGGCTCATCGCAGCAGTTTGTGAGATGAGTCCAACTGCAGCTTGATGTGGTATATATAAAAGTGAAGATTTCTCCGATACAAATTTTATGTTGTTTTTTAGTTTTGTTCTAAGTTAAATTTCTCCTGACTTTTACTGCGTTTTCTAAAAAAATATCAACATCTATAATACTAAACAAATGCACTATCGATACATAAATGGTGGGTTTGAAGAATTTAATTTGATTATGTAGATGTTGTATTTCTTTTTATGTGAGGAGTTTGGCGACGCTAATTCGAATCTGCAAAATAAGAACAGATATAGGATAAAGTTAAAGTGTCTTGTAATTCGAATAAAGTCTTGTCCGCGAGTGTCCATGTTTATTTCTCTCTTGGAACTAATACTCTTAGGTCACTTTGCATGATGAGCTATGAACAAGCATTGATAATGATCTGGTGAGGGCGTCCGTCCATCTGGACGCGCCTCTGCCTCCCTGGGCCTACGGACCAGCTTAGCCTGCTCCCCCAGGCGGGCCATCTAAAACTCTTAAGGGATTTGGGAGCCGCGGCCAGAAGGCGCGTTTGACGGCAGTCCCACGAAGAAGCTCGCGGCGCACATCATGACAGCGCCCTCCCCCGACATTGGTCTCGCCCGTGGCGTCTTCTTCTCCGGCTACGACTGTCTCTCGGAAATCAGAGCCTGCAATGTCGGCACGACCAGCGTGTTCTCCTCCCACCATGCCTCCTTTCGCCCATGTGCGGCGGGCCCTGAGCGCTCTCCGTCCCCATCTCTGTCCTAGGGCCCACTTCCTCTACGGCGTCATGGCTCCACCCTCCTTCACCTCGACCTAGTGCCAGATCGTGCTATGCATTGCTCCGCTCGCCCACCCGCCTGCCAGGGTTTGCTGAAAGTTCATGTTGTAAGTGTATGTTTCAAGTGTTTCAGATGTTTCATAGGTATCTTACAAGTGTTTCATATGGATGCTGCAAAAGTAGATTGGGATGTTGCATATGTTGGAATGGCTATACACATATGTTGCAAGCGTCTGTTTCAAATGTTTCATCTGTTTTTTCAGACGTATGTTATAAGTGTGTTTATTTGGATGTTGTATATATTTCACACATATGTTGCATATGTTTTTAATGGTTTTTCAAGTATTTTTAGGTTTTTTGCAAGTGTTTCAGACGCATGTTTCAAATGTTTTATCTGTCAGATGTATGTTGCAAATGTTCTATCTGGATGTTTCAAAAGTAGATCGAGTGTTGCACATGTTACAATGGCGCCAGTGGCTAATGGACAGCAGCCTGTCGCAGGGTTTCAACTCCTTCCTTGTGTGGCGCACCTCGCCGTCTCCTCTCATCTCCTCTCCCTCCCCTCCCTTCCCTTCCACTCCCTTTCCTCCATCTCAACACGACATTTCGAGCTCAGCGAGCGCGGGTGCCCGCGGATTGGTGGCCCGACGAGCGCGCGGAGGTGGTGGCTCTGGGTGGGCCGACGACTGGCGTGATGTGTGTTGGCCCCGCAGCAAGCTAAGGTCCGCGCCATCCGCTTGCTACGCACGGGAAATAGAGCAACCGCAAGCGTCTGGACGCGGGCATCCATCCGGACGTCTCCTGCCGATTACGATTTTACGAAACAGAGTATCTACTTATTTTGATTTGTCATATAGTCCATATGGAATGGTGTGAGCAGATTCATCAACATTATAAGGATATTCACCACCTTATTAAATAATGCATGCATATTTGTATTTCTAAACTTTATACATAGGAGTCTACCAACGGTGGCGTCGATCAGCCTATTCGCTTGTTGGTTTCAGCCAGAGCTTATCAGTCAACGAACAATATTTTCCTTTCACAACAAATCAGCACCAGCAGGGCTTATCAGCCCGGAAACCAAGCAACGAATAGAACCAATATGTCAAAAATAAATTTATAGTACTACTGACTACTGTAGTAAATTGAAATGGTCGATGATCTCTGGTTGCACTGTTGCATTGATAAGTTATGACTTGAGCTCACAAGAAGCTTCGGATGTCCTAGAAAGGGACCAAGGGGTTGAACTGCGGTGGACGCAGACGCAGAGCATTGTGACGCGGTGGCGCCGCCCTAGACGAAGGCAACAGCCCAGCCCGGTCGCGTGTGGCCTTGCGGGTCGTGTGTGTTTTTTATAAGGACGCTTGCGGTCGCGTGTGGCCATAGTAGTAAGTAGTCCAGAAGGGGAGAAACGACAAACCGATCTCCGCGTCGGGCAGGGCTGCTTGTCATCACCTACCGCCCGATCCCAAAGCGCTGACGGCTCCGATCGGATCACGCGTCGCTGTCCCCTCCACGCCAACCTGCCCCCACCACCCGGTTCCCCCTCGCTTTCCCCAGTCCCCACCCGCCCACCGCCCGAAGCAAAGCGAGCGCGAGCACGAGCACAAGCGCAGACAGAGCAGCCAAGCGCCACACGCCGACGCCGAACCAACCAGCTGGTAGCCTGGTAGTAGTAGTAGGTTCGCCGCGATGACGATGATGATGCCTCGCCGCGCCGTCGTCCTCTTCGCCGCGGCGCTCCTCGCGGCCTCCGCCGCCGGGGTCTCCGGGTTCCACCTCGGCGGGGACGAGAGCGGCCTCGTGAGGGGCGTGCTCGCCGCGCTCCGCGAGCGGGCCGAGGCTGAGGACGCCGCGCGCTTCGCCGTCGCCCACCACAACAAGAACCAGGTGTGTCTGTGCCTCCCTCCTCGTGTCTCCACCCCGTCGACACCAATTCCATCAGTGTGTGGACTCTTGTGACCCATGGGAAGTGAATTGCATGGACTTACAAGGTGACGTCACCCAGTTAGGTCAATGAACCTCCACCCTCGAGTGGGGAAAAAAGGTTAGGTCCTTGAATTCGCTACCGGGCTTCAGTTGCATCAACCTGTCGGGGTCCCTAAAGTACAGTCTTAAGGGAGTGATTTACTAGATTTGCTAGAACCAAGTTTCGGTTTCTAGATCTAATGGTTGAACTGTATGCGAAAACATATGATGAGCCAGAGCCGTTAGAAAGGTGGAAACACATGCAGTGTCTAGCAATTTGGTCCTTGTCTCATGTTATTCCAAGACTCGAAAGGTTGGGAGTATTTTCTCATATCGGCAGGATGATCCCTCCATGGATGTACACCACGGCCACGCTGGATTTCTTCTGAGTTCTTCATAACGTTTGGAAAATTTTCTTGTACAGGGTGCTGCCTTGGAGTTTACTAGGGTGCTCAAATCGAAGCGGCAGGTGGTGACCGGGACCCTGTATGACCTGATACTGGAGGCAGCTGACGCTGGAAAAAAGAGTCTGTACAGAGCAAAGGTTTGGGTGAAGCCGTGGGAGGATTTCAAGTCTGTTGTTGAGTTTCGCCTTGTTGGAGACTCTGAATCTGAATCCGAGTCTTCTGTTGCTTCTGATGATAGCTCTGGGCAAGGTATTGTTGGATGTTCGGATAGTATATTTGTTTATAATTACCCAAGGAGAAAGTCTACATAATCCCCTCAACTATTCAGGGGGACTACTTCACCCCCGAACTATAAAACCGGATTTTCTACCTTCTGAACTTTCCAAAACCGATCAAATAACCTCAAGCGGTTTTGGACGATGGTTTTGCTATAATGATGGTGGTTTTGTCTTTTTCTTTTTTATTTATCTCCGCTGAATCTTTGAAAAATCATAGTAAATCATAGAAAAATCATAAAATGAAAAATCCAATTTTGTTGAACTCCGTCTGAGTAGATTTACACAGTGAACATATAATATGGTATGCTTTAGTACAAAGTTTTTTATATAGCTTTAGATCTATGATTTTCTGTAATTAATTAGAATAATTCATACATGCAGCTTCTATGGTCCAATTGTGGTGAAATTTTTATGGTGGGCTAATTATTGTATGCTTAAACTATAGTAAAAATTTCATACTCATTGGATCATGTATAACTTAGTTACAGATAAAGCATAGATTTAACAAGTATAAACCTAAATAAATCTATAACTAAGTTATACATGATCTAATGAGTATGAAATTTTTACTACAGTTTAAGCATATAATAATTAGTCCACCATAAAAATTTCACCATAATTGGACCATAGAAGCTGCATCTATGAATTATTCTAATTAATTACAGAAAATCATAGATCTAAAGCTACATAAAAAACTTTATACTAAAGTGTACCATATTATATGTTCATTATGTAGATTTACTCATGCGGAGTCCAATAAAATTGGATTTTACATTTTATGATTTTTCCGTGATTTACTATGATTTTTAAAGATTCAGTGGAAATAAATAAATAAAAAGACAAAACCACTGTCACTGTAGCAAAGCCACCGTCCAAAACCGTTTTGGGGGTTATTTGACCGGTTTTGGAAAGTTTAGGGGGTAGAAAATCCGATTTTATAGTTTGGGGGTGAAGTAGTCTACCCTTAATAGTTGGAGGGTATGTAGACTTTTACCAATTATCCAATATAATCTACCGGGATAGATAAGCGTGGTTTTGAATTTTTCAGCGATTGCCAAGCTCTCTCTTGAAGCAGACATCGTACAAGAAGAGGCTCGCCTGCACACCATTGAGAATGATGGACTTTCAGGCGATTTCACATCATCATCTTAGGTATGATGTCATCTTCTTGTGCAACGGATGTCATTTCTGGTCTCTTGCTATTTGGTTAACCGACCTATGACCACACGAGTCAAGGACAGGCTGCCAGTGACGCTAATTGCTGTAACCATGATATTGTTTTGATCTTGCATGGGTATCTTTGCATAGTAGTGCCTCAGTACATGATCAAACTAAACTATTATGTTTGTATAGTTTCTTTTATCTTTGCCATGGCTACTGTGGGAACTAGGAAGTATCTAGTGCTGATGTGGGGCCTTATATGTTGCCATCTGGACGATGTTTTTTACTGTATGGTTACTGTTAGTTGAATCAGTTGGGATTTAGTTATTTCGTTTTTTATGGAAATCCAAAAGTGAGGCCTTCATTAAAATGACACTCTTCATGTAGTCATGTGACTCAGTCTGGCACTGGTGCTTTGGGTCCATATCAAGCTGTGTGCTATACTGCTATCAGTAGAAAACCTGCTGTTTAGTTTCTTAACAAAACTTTCTATGCATGCATACAATGTTTTGTGACGAAACTAAATAGCAGGAAGCACACACCAACGCCAGTCGCCAGACACTTCCCCAAGACAACATTTGCATCATGCAGTGCTTTTAGCTTTTGCCTGCAACCATATCCATGTCTTATTCTTCTATTTATATAATTCGCAGTGTTTGTGTATCTTGTAATACTATGTGAAAAACCAGTGGCATAGCTCAGGAATCTAGGCCATTGGCCCTGTTCGCTGGTCTGAAATTTGGCTGAAAATGGCTAAAAAACACTGTTCCGGCTGAATTGTTGTGAGAGAAAAACACTGTTCCGGCTGAAAAAAGAAGCCGAACAAGCCATTTTTAAGACAATGCTCCGATGAACAATATCTGTATCCTTAATATGTGGTGTGCTGTGATTGCATCAGTCTGTTTATTTGCTTTCTGATGCATACATCAAAATTGGTATTTACAACTTGCAATCCAAGTTACTTGATATTAGATCACTGTCTTGTTTGATGTATTAATGTGAGTACTCTAGCAAAGAAAAACCCATCTTTAGTTTTCATGTCCATACTATTCTATTACCAGTTTCTTCATTTTGCTTTTTTTGGTCCTATAATGCAGCATTCAGCAAACACAATGTGATTTATGTTTTGACTCGTCCCTCATTTTCAGACATACTTGGTGTGACTAGGATTCCAGGCAAGGATGGAAAGCGTGAAGGTTTCAAATGAAGTTTTAGGTATTTAGAATTCTATATAGTAGGTTGCTGTCAAGCTGAAATGCTTTGCCTCGTTTACAAGAATATGTATCTTTCGTTTGGAACGTGGGAGCATATAGAACTGTATATTTCAGTATTTCATTCACACTGTCCATTTCCATGTCTGTATATAAGGAGGTTCTGTCCTTGTACGGCATAGTACTTCAACCACATATATATGTACTCCCTCCATTTCAAATTATAAGTCATTCCAAGAATTTTGAAGAGTCAAACGATCTCAAGTTTGACCAAATTTATATGATAAAATAATAATATTTATGGTTCCAACTAAGTACAATTAGATTCTTCATTAATTATATTTTCATAGCATACCTATTTGATGTTATAAATCTTTTAAATTTCTCTATAATTTTGGTCAAACTTGAGATGCTTTGACTCTCTAAGATTCTTGGAATGACTTATAATTTGGGATGGAGGGAGTAATGCAAAATTGTCGTCTAGTTTCAAGTAAATTTCAAACAAACAAGACAAAATTTCTGTTTCAAAATTCGGCCACTAGATGGCTACCAGCTGTCCAGCACGTCCAATTGGGAATTACGGCCGAGTGCCGCTCGCCTAACATTCTGGAATCTCCCGGGAAATCTTTGCACCGTATGTTCTTACAAAAACTCGGGCTTTCCAGCCTTTGTACATCTTAGGGCCTCTTCAGGTCTACTGAGATGAGGTACCTGCTAAAATTAGCAATGTCGTCCCAGCTAATAGTTCAAAATAAACTGTTCCCTCTATTGTAAATTGTAAGTCGTCTTATCTTTCTTAGACACATTGCTTTTATTATGCATCTAAATATACACTATATCAAGATATATATTAAAAATAATATTTATATATGGAGAAGCCAAAACGACTTGCAATTTGACACAGAGGGACTATTTGACTAGTAAAAAAAATATTAATTAGCATATTTAGCTAACCGTCTATTTGAATTTACTCGTAGTTCATAGTTAATATTACCTAGCTGGCTGGCTATCTATTAGCTTAGTGTTGTTTGTATCCACCGGTGGTTTTGTCTATATATCCTTTTTTTTTTTTTTGCTATTGGTAGGGCAACGTGGTTGGGGAGGGTAAAATTGTCTTATTTTGCAATCTATTATATTCCCTCAGTCCATAAGTCTCTATCGTCCGAGCAAATTTTTTTCCTCAAGAGTCTCAATCATATTAGATCGGACCACGGGTTTGGCTTCTCGTACGTGCTGCACATTTAGTGCTCCTTGGCTACTCCTTGCCTACATTTATTGCTCCTTTGTCGCTGCTCCTTGGCTGCGACTCCTTGGCTGTTCCTTGCCTTAAATGCAAATCGGCGTTGTTTGTTGCTCATTGTGTTGAAGGCTAAAACGGTGGAGCCTTATGGACGGAGGGAGTATGCTATTATCTGGATTGGAATAGATAGTGGATAGCTGGGTATCATAGCTAATTTTTAGCATCTAATAATTAGCCAGTGGATCAACCAGGCCTAAGTACACTAACTATTAGTTGAGGATCAAACAAAGCTTAGCTAATAGCTCCGCTGGTAAAAATCCGTTAGTTGGCTAACGATTAGCTGTCTGGATCAAAATAGGCCATTATGTGTTATTTTACGAAGCGACCTAACCACAAGGGACCCCAAAAAATAGGGGATAGCCATTCTTTCGGTCTCTCTGTCTCCTTCATGCTCGACGTCCTTGCCTCTTGCCCCCTTTCGCTCCCTCCACCTTGTTGGCACAGCACTCCAAATTCGTGCCTCCTAAAGCTACAAGAAACTTGTACTACTATAATGTTTTGCCCTGTAACCATTGACCTCCCTCGTTCCTCCTCAAGCTAGAACATCACCTTAGTTATGGTTTGGCCTGTTATCACGGTCTCTCTTCTTAGTCTTCTAGGAGTAGTTTCAACGGTGACACGGTGTCATTGCTTCTAACGTTAACCACTTGGTAGTTGGCGCTGACACCCAATCGCCTCTATCATCCGCCAGTGTCTCCCACCATTTTTGTGGCAAGTGGAGACTTCCTTGGCCTTCACCTTTAGCTCCAGTAGCCATGCCACATCACCTACCAAAACTAAAATTCTAAACCCCTAGCAATTCTAATCATGGGGCCAGAGCCCTTCTATCAGAATAAGAGGTTACTTTATTCATCTTTTTCAGTGTCTTCCATCTTTTATAGCCATCAATTCCTTCTAATACGTGTTGCCAGATACCTTTCCAAATCAAGAGATAGACCTCACTTGTTTTACTTCCTCCATTTCTTAATATAAGTCTATTTACCTTTGTCCTAAGTTAACCTTTTGTTTTGACCATGAATGACTAAAAAGTTGTGCAGATGTTGATGTTGTATCCATTGTGGAACATACTACGATACTTTTATAACATGTAACTTTTCTATTTCATACGTTCCAAACTTATAAGATGTTTTGGCTTTTCTAGATATATTATTTTTACTACTATATATCTAGACACAGTATATATCTACCTGCATAAGAAAAACCTATTTATCTAGAAAAGCAAAACGTCTTATAATTTAAAACAGATGGAGTATTTAAAAAGATATATTATTAGTTGAAGAGTAAGATTGGAGGATGTGTCAATGCCCCATTGGACTTATATAGAGAGGAGAGTAGTTTTTTATTAACGAAATTCTCATAAAATTGATCTTTTTGGACAACGCATAAAATTGAATCATAACGTGTTAAAAAAAAGAGGCGTAGCCCGGCCGTAGCCACTAGCCAGTAGCCTCCTTTGAAACCTCGCCGCTCGCACCCACCGAACCGTTTCCAATCACGGCTGGCGGCCGAGCAAAGCTGCCGAGAACAGCGCGTCCGTTTTCAAACCTTTTCAAATTCCTCTCCTCGCAAAAAAAAAGTCGCAATAATACCGTTCATTCGAATTCCATAGTTCCATCCTCCTCCCTTCCTCTCCGGCGGCTTCGCTTCTTCCCTCCCGCTCTCCCCCTTTTAAATCAAACCCACCCCTCGGCTCCTTCCCTATAAACCCTAGCCGAAGCCAGGGAGCGCGCACTCCACTCCCCAACCCGATCCCACAAGATCGCGTCCGCCTCAGACGCCGCCTCATGGCGACTCCTCCGCCGCCGCTCCCGCCCATGCCGCCGAGGCGCGTCTCCTGCGGCTCCCTTCTACAGGAACTACAGGTTCGTTCGACCCTGCAATCCAATGCTTCCTTCGTTGTTTGATCTGCGATTCTGGCCAATGTCGACTGGATCTTGGGTGTCACGTTCTTGGCCGGCGATTCTGGCTGCTGCGGTTCTTGGTGGGTAGGGGGTTTGGGTCTGCAGGGAAAAATGGGTGTTCTTTGGCGTATAATTTGGGGGATCGGGCTCCGAATTTTTGGGCTTTCGTGGTTCCCGTTCTTGATTTTGTAAGGACGCGTTGAAATTGCGTGCCGATTTTGTCTGCCTTCCATTCTTCTTGGCCGAATTAGTGAATTCTGGGCACGGCCATTGCATTTCTTGGTGTTGAAGTTGAATTTGTGCCATGATGTTTGGATCTTGGGGACAAAGTAGTCGCCCTCCGGAAATTCCCTGTTTCCTGGTTCTCTTGGCACCAATTCTGGCCTGGTTTGTCATCTGTCGTTGCGATCATGATGATTCATTCATCGTCTCGCTGTTCTCTTTTTGTTTGCATCCGTGTTTCCGTACCTACTGGGGAATGCATTCTGAATGTCTTTGCCTCTTTCTGTGTCGCGTTGGATGGGTCTCTCTCTACATCCAGTTCGGCTTTGCATTCGGTACTAAACACCACAATTTTGAATCAGGAACTATGGGGAGAAATTGGTCAGGGTGAAATGGAAAGAGATAGGATGATACTGCAACTGGAGGAGGATTGTCTCAATGTTTACAGGCAAAAAGTGAATCAGACTAGGAAGCAGAAGGCAGACCTGCTTCAAGAGCTGTCCTTTGGCGAAGCTGATATAGATAAGATCCTTTCTGCTCTTGGAGAGAGAGAAACCTTTCCCAGGGTAAGTTTTTCTGTCATCGTTCAATTTGTGTAGTTGTTGTAGCTGGTAGGCTTTAAAAGTTTCTGTGGTTGTTGTAGTTGTAGACTTTCAGTTTTCAAACTGACACTGAGAAAAAAATTTATCTGTTCAGTCAGAGAAGCTCGGGGGCACGTTAATGGAACAAATTGCTAAGATAGAGCCAGTGCTGGAAGAATTGAGGCGCAGGAGGGATGGCAGAGTAAATGAGTTCAGGGCTATTCAGTTACAGATAGTTCGATTACAAGCAGAAATTTCAGGAGCTATTGATCATGGGGATCCCGCTGCTCCTATGGTAGATGAGAATGATCTATCCTTGAAGAGATTAGGGGAATTGAAGGAGCAACTTAATGATCTTCAGACAGAAAAGGTCGCATATTGAGCTTTAAAATTTTCTTTCCCAGGTTGCTTAGTTGCCATTCTTATATTGATTGTTTTAATTTTTTTTTCAGGAATGCAGGCTGCAAAAAATTGACATCCAGACTAACAGTATTCAGGAAATGTGCAACATTATGTCTATTGATCTCAAAAAGGCACTAAAGGATGTTCATCCCAGTTATGCTGAGCTGGGAAGAGGCAAACCCATGAGCATTAGCAACGATTCACTTGATAGACTCTCGGAAAAAGTTCATGCGTTAAATCATGAAAGGAAACAAAGGCTTCGGAAGGTGCATATATCGTTCAAGCTAGTTATTTCATTGAAACATAGATCAGCATACATATTACTGAAATGCGTTCACTCTCACGTATTTCCCATTTTCTTTCCTGATGCCAAGCACACTAGCCATTGAACTTGATCTTAAAGAACAAAAAAATTGATGAAATTTACCTTAGGAAAGTGTCAGGTTACTTTACTGTTTTGTGAGAAAACCATATATTTTCCAACACCAAATATGTCATGTTACATTTTCCTCATCCCTGCACTAAATATTCATAGACTTTGACCCTTCATTATTTAAATATAAAAAATATGCAAGTAAAATATTAAAACAACTCAATGCTCAATAAAAAACTATTTTAGTGGCTCGGTGTTTACAATCTTGAAGTCTAAGATATTGGAGGCCACTGCCTTCAAACCCTTGGTTTTGTTGGTCACTTGCCATTCTGTGTCTAGTGATGGAGGAGTAATACCTTTTTTTTTTCCAGAGTATGGTTAGCTTGCTTATTCCTCACAAATTTATAAAATACATTGCTTTTGCTATCGATTGTTATTTTTTTACCTATTTGACTTAAACCTTGCGAGTACTTGTTTTTGGTACAAAACATCTATTCCCTGTGGTTCTCTAGTTATCATCCTTCATGTACTTTGATAGTTTGGGTTATATATTTCTGTTGTGTTCGGTGTGCTGCATCATTGAAATTCACACTCTATTGCAGCTCCAAGATCTTGGCAGCACACTCATTGAGTTATGGAACCTCATGGACACACCAACTGATGAACAAAGAAGTTTTGACCATGTGACTTCTCTTATTAAAGTCTCACCAAATACAGTGATGCCCCCAGGGTGCCTTGCACATAAGCTTATTGAGAAGGTAATTGTGTTGCCCCCTGCGCCCCCCCCTGAATCTTGTTGACGTCAATACTTCAAATTTATTCTAGTTCTTATACAGAATCCTTCTCCTCCTCTTATATAGGTAGAGACTGAGGTTAAGAGACTGACTCATTTGAAAACCAGCAAAATGAAAGAGCTAGTCTTCAAGAAAATGACTGATCTTGAGGAAATCTTTAGAAGTGTTCACATGGATATTAATAGTGACACAGAGCGGCGAACCCTCAGTGATCTCATTGATTCTGGTTAGCTTCTTTGTTATACTTTCATTTCATACTGAAGTGCTTTCCTGTATTTTGCTTTTGTTTCATTCAAAGTTCCCTTGATGCTCCAGCTGGTTTCTTGATGTAGCTTGTGGTGTCCAGTCAAATTCCGCTATTGCCATCTATGCAAACAATAATCTACCCTTGGCTTTGTGGAATTCCATTATGATTTGATGCTCGTCTTCTCAGTCAACATTCTTTGCTGTTAATGTGCTAATTAATTATGTATCATTGTCCATACTTGTACACAGTATAAGCTCAAGGTCCTATGTCTAGTGCACACCACCATGATTCTGCAATTGGAATATATATTCTGTTTAATTTCTGCTCTGTAGTTCAAAGGAATAAAAGAGATAAGAAAACAAAGCATTATAATGAATGAAGACATGATCCTTCTTGCTGTATTCTGCATTTTCTAGTACATTTTGCTTTTTGTGTTGATGGTCATTTCCAATTTAATTCTACCCTGTTGTGATGTTATGTGAATTTCTGGTCGCTTGATTTAATTCTACCTTGATTTCCCCGTTCTATATTGAAATGTTTGAACTAATGTGATAATTCACTCCTCAGTTTACTCCATGGTTTCCTACAGCCATTTAGTAGCTGATTCAGTAATTCAAGAAAAAAACAAACTTTGATCTGTAGGTAGAGCAGATCTTTCAGAGTTGCTGACAAGAATGGATATTCGAATTGCGGAGGCAAAAGAACATGCATTAAGTAGAAAGGATATTCTAGAAAAGGTGGAGAAGTGGACATCAGCATCTGAAGAGGAGACTTGGCTTGATGAATACGAGAGGGTAACATAATTTGTTTATTGATCCTTAGTTGCTCTTTTTTCAAAGAGTTCATGCATTATACATCAAGCCTAAGGGCCTGTTTGGTTCGCCTAGTAGCTACTAAATTTAATAGCTTTTAGTCACTTTAGTAACTTTTTAACCAAACACTATGACTAAAAGCTACTAAAAGGGCTTTAGTCATCTCTAGTAACTCTGGAGTTACTAAAAGTGACTAAACCGTTTAGTAGTTACTAAAGTTTAGTAGCTCGAACCAAACACCCCCTAACAATATTACAGTGCCATATCTGTTCTATACTCGCACCTAATTTACAACCTCGATTTCCATTCCAGGATCAAAACCGCTATAATGCTGGCCGAGGAGCTCACATAAATCTCAAGCGTGCGGAGAAAGCTAGGACATTGGTCAACAAACTTCCATGTAAGCTGTATACTTGTTCATACTTCTACTGAAAAATATCTAAGAGCTTAAATACCCCCCTACATATTGAATAGTTATTGTAGAACATTCCAGAAGGCTGCAGTATCCTATATGATTATCATTTGGGGTTGTTTGGATAATAGATACAGCAACTTAAGGCTTCAGAGTTCAGACTATGTATTGACTATGGGCCTGTTCACTTCAACTTCTTCTGACTGCGTTGCAAGCTGTGGCTGCACCACCAAAGTCACGTACCTACAAACAGGCCCTATATTTTATAACAAAACAACGCACACGACTATAAAATAGGAAAAACCAGTTTACAAAAGATTCTTCTGCAGTGGTTACCATGAGTTATAATTTTTGTGTGTGTGATCTGTGTTGTCTGAGCAACTTGTTGTGTTTGACTTGTCTATTCACCACCTCCATGCCATTCTCACAAAAAGAAAAGGACTAATTCATTCAAGTGATCTCTTTTGGAAACATGTGTTAACACACCTCTATTAGTGATTCACATGTTCCCCTATTAAAAAAGGCAGACCCAGTGCCGGAGGCTCTCACATGAGTGGGGTCTGGGGAAGGGAAAAACCGAGGCAAGCCTTCCCCCCGCAAAATCTGTGGAGAGGCCGCTTCGAACCCGTGACCTGGTGACTCAGTGAGACAACTCTCACCATTGCACCAGGCCTGCCCTTCACATGTTCCCCTATTTCAAGTCAAATTTACGTTATAGTTTAGGCCTGTTTTTAACAGTGCAGTTTCATTATTTTCAGTTATTTGCTGTTGTTGCTTGCTGCTCATTCATCTACTAGTATAGTCTGTAAATTTTCAACTTGATCTTGTTATGGCAAGTGGAGCCGGCCCACGGCCCACACGGTACTGTAGCGACGCGGTACTGTAGCGCGTGAGATTAGATTAGATTGGTTTGGTTTGTTAGGAAAGGGATATGTGGTTTGGTTTGTTAAGAAAGATATATGTTAGATCGATTCGGTTAGGATATTTCCTTAGGGGTCAAGTCAGTCATCTCTATAAAAGGGAACCCTGTATCAGTTATAGTCAAGCAAGAAGCAACAATTAAGTTGCTGGCTTCGCTGGGAGCCAGCCGTTCTTGCCCTCTCTCCCTTGCGTGAACAGTACCGCGGGTACTGTAGCCCCGCGGGTACTGTAGCACTTCAGCCGCCGTGGCTCCCCTCACCTCTCTCCTCTCAATCCTAGCAGCCACATAACAGATCTTAAGTCTTATTTCATTTTACAGCTCTTGTGGAGAACTTGACTGCTAAAATTAAAGCTTGGGAAAAGGAGAAGGGTATTCCATTTATGTTTAACAAGGCAAGTTCAATTACTCATTGTTCTTGTCCAACAAAAAGGCTTGTTAGTTTGAAACTGTGAATAGATCTGTGCTTACTTAATTTGGTATACTCATGTACAGGTGAGGCTGTTGGATTGTTTAGAAGAATACACCTGTACAAGACAGCAAAAAGAAGAGGAAAAGCGTCGATCAAGGGTTGGTTTTTATTTTGCATATCTTCTGTTCCATAAAGTCCTGGTCATGTCAAGCATGTTATGTTTTTTAGTTTACCTTCTTAGCCTGTTTTCTTTATAGCTATGGTTTTTTTTGTGTGTGTGTGTGATGGAAATGATACAATACTTGCAAAACTCAACCACTTTAACTATCCTCTGATTAATATACTGCCATGTGACTCTGCAATTCCTTCTGCAAATCTCAAGTCCAATGATGTTTCGACTGTTTTCAGGAATTGAAGAAACTGCCAAGTACAGAGCAAGGTGCCAAGTTTGTTACGAAACCAAGCCCTATCCGTCCTCTTTCTGCAAGGAAGCCTCTTGGGAGCTCTAATGTCAATAATATTGGTGGAACTCCGACCGGCCGCCGTGTTTCTACCCCTATGTCACGGAAGTGTAGGCCATCTTCTGGAAGGGTGCAGGAAGCTGTGAAGACTGCTGTGGCACCAGCAAACTATGTTGCCCTTCCCAAGGACTGCTCAGACAATTCTTCCCTTTGAAGTGTAATCACCACATATAAGTTGAACCCAGTCTGACCATCGCTTATCTTCTCACTTGATCTGCCTATATAGCCTTGACTCCAGTGTCCATGCGTGTTTTCAGACTCGAAAGTTGCTACCCTGAATAGTATAATTTTCTCTCTTTTGAATAGTCGCAAAATTTTACGGTTTGTTTCTTTTGGGTGGCTCATACCATCGAGTAGAGCCAGGCTTAGTTTGGCCTGGTGGAAATTGATTTTCTTACCTACATTGAGAATGTGGTAGCATTACCACCAACACAAATATTTCGCAACGAGCCTTGCTATGGAGAAACGAAGGTAAATTCCAGTTTCCGCCTGATAGAGATCTGTACGCATGTCTTCTAACCAAAGGGTATGTGGTGTTTTTCCCATCTCTCTTTAGTACCTGCCTGTCCGAAACGTCTATCCAGGTTAACAAACACTGCTGCACCCCGCTGGATTGGTCCAGAGCTCATGCCAGGGAAACAAACAGGCAATAACCTTGGGTAATTGCAACGGGAGCAACATACTGATAGGCATCAAGTACATGTTCTCTTCAAGTTTTGCAATATTGTACTCCTCAAGTGTTGGTGGTGTGCACGAAGAGATCATTTTTTTTTGATCACGCAAAAGGTTTGCACGTCTTTTTTTATACTCAGACCCTCACTAGTGTACAGGTCTACCACGAGTAGTTGGCTAGTTGCTACTCTATTCGGTTTCAGTATGTTGCCTCATTCAGTGTTCAAACAGTTCACAGGAAAACTGGCTATGTACGATTTTGTCTGACCTATGAAGCAAAGTGTCTTGCCATTACATGAACAAGATAATTTCACCTTTTGAGATTCCTGCCACTGTTCTTTAATTTCATACTGATTGCAAAAACTTGTTCTCCAATATGCCCTCTGTCACTAGTGAGTAGTCACTACCATTAGTGCCATGTAGATGATCTCATTGAACCACACTAGATTTCAGTGTTGCCTGCCTGGTCATTCCATTGATCTCAAAGGCAGTTTTGGTGCTGCTTGTCCCCTTTCTCATGTTGCTAATCCAATAGGTAAAGTCACTGAATCTGCAGCTAAAGAGTTCAGTGACATCAGCCCTCAAGATTTGATCCGAAAACAAGATTTATACAACCCGCATCTTAGTCGAAGTTGCATGTGTTCCTCTACCGAGAACCCTAATTAATGAGATGCAACCTCGGATTAGAGTAGTATTCCACAGTAGCTCTTATTCTCTAGCTCACATGCAAACTGGGTTCTGTCACTTTAGTTGTCTTTGTGAATTGTGATATCCTTGTTGGCTAACACAAATTGTCTTTAGAATATTGCAAAGTATGTGCAGCGATCTGGAGAGCTCAACTTGGTGCTGGAAGAAATTACTTCTTCCACTGCAAAACGACGCAGCTGAACTACAACACTAGCTTTTGTAAAGATAACAACGATGTAAATTGTTCGTCAATTACGCAACTGAAAGCACTTAACAGAAAAACTTATCTCAATGCAGTGGAAGTGACTGAATCATTGAAGTGTTTTAATGGTAGACGATGTTACCTGGCAGGTTAAAAATCTGGTATCAGTTAAACATCACCGAATTTTTTGATTTAATAAAAATAAAAACTAAAAAAGTATCAAGGGTTCTTATCATGTCCTTCCAGGTAACAATTTTCTTTCAATTCCTGGTTGAATAGACAAACTTGGTCATCGATGGAATTGCTCTTTAATGGCTCCTGACACTGGTAAGTGGTAAACTGGTAATACATCAATAACCATGGAACCAAACGTTTGGCACTTCTAAAGCCATTCTACAATTGTTATAAGGGCCTGTTTGGATCCCATGAATTGAAATTAATATCTAGAAAGTGCTTCCCATTTCATTATTTGATTACTTTCCAATTCCTCTCAATTTCTGGGAGGGCCGAGCCAAACTTTCGTGATTTAGGGTAACCATGCTAAAAAAAATATCCTGTGTGAGCCAAAATTTTTGTGCAACTTACAGCGGGCTACTTTTCTCTGATGAAAAAAAGAGGCCGGTTTGGATTTACAGGAATCGGACATGCAATTTGAGGTTGCATTCAGCAACATGTTTTGGCACTTTGGCATATTGCCGGCTGCATGATATGACAAATCCTGCTAATGCCCGAGCAAGGAAAGGAATCTTACGAAGATTATTACTTGGCATACCGCTCTTATTATTAATGCGTTCTCATCCTGTTTTTAGTACTCTACTGAGGTTATCATGTAAGCGGTGACCACATGAGTTTTGGAGAATATAAGGCACAATTATGAGAATATAGCCTGAGTGCGAGGTCACCACTTGTCGGGGACCAATATTAGGGTATCCGAAGAAAAGGAGCTAATGATCATCAACATTGATTCGTCCGCGCGATCAAGAGCGCGACTACACCGCTTGCCGGGTCCCTTCTTGTCCGGCCACCGAGACCATGGGCCCTGCCTCGTCTGACCCTCGAGGGTTTGCTCTGCCTCGGTGGGCACCGCGGCCGCAGGCCCTATCTCACCGACCCCCGAGGGTTAACTCCGCCTCTGGTCGACTCCCGAGGGCTGGCTCCGCCTCGTCCGACGTCTGGGGGCTGACTCCGCCTCGCCCGACGTCCGAGGGCTGGCTCCGCCTCGCCGGACGTCCGAGGGCCGGCTCCGCCTCGACCCGACGTCCGACGGTCGGCTCTGCCTCGCCCGATGTCTGGGGGCTGGCTCCGCCTCGCCCGACGTCTGCAGAAAAGGCAGGGCACTCAAGTCAACCGCAATACCGAGGACCGTACCCTGCACGTCTGCAGAAAAGTACCGTCAGGACACGACAGAAGGGCGCTTTACGACCTTCCAGGCATGACAGAGCCCAAACAGTGTTGTAGGCGTCGACATTTGCCATACAGTGTTGTGGGCGCCGCCATTTGCCCTCGGGCAAGGATCCTTACGGAGGCTCACGACAACCACTACGGTCCAGAAGGAAACTCACATCACCTACAGTAATGGACGTGCGGTCATTGCGCCGTCTGCTCCCTGTATGGCCGTGGATCAGCACCTTGGTCCGCCGCGTCGCCCGCCGGGGTGGGATGGGATGTGACAACTCACTGACAATGCCAGGACATGGCATCGTCAGCGGACAGACGCCCAACGCGGCCCTGTCAGGGTCGGCGAACATGTTCCTGGCGTGGAGCTGTCCCTGTCACCACCTGCCATGTCAGCGGGGCCCGCACAGAGGAAGCAAGACCCAACGTCCTTGAAGGATTTCCTTTGCCTCTGGTTTTCCTCTTTTCTCCCATCTGTAATACCTGCTCTCCCTTGGCCTATAAAAGGGAAAGCAGGGCACCCCACTAAGGGGATCGATTCAACACACCACGAATCACCTTACACATAGCTGAGCAGCAACCAAGCTCTCAGCACCCATTCGATATTTCCATCAGAGACTTGGGGCCTGTCCTCTCTCGCCCATTTGTAACCCCCTACTACGAACTTTTCAGTGCTAATAACACGAGCAACAGCCACGAACTAGACGTAGGGATATTATGCTCAAACCAGTATAAACCTTGTGTCTGTTTAGCACACCATCTAGGCCAGACGCGCAATAACACAAATTTACTCGTTGGTGTTTACTCGAAACACCGACAGTTGGCGTGCCAGGTAGGGGACTTTGCGTGTCCTGACATTAACATCAGCCCACAGATGGCTAGTCACGGCATCAGCTGGGTCCCGGGCGTACACATGCGCTTCGGGGACCTAGACTTCATCATCATGGTGGGAGGAGAGTTGGCATTGGCTCACGCTGCCATCAAACCTCTCCCCTCCATCAGCCTCGACACAGTCGACGCGGTGGTTGAGGAGATGCAACTGCATGCACCGGGGGCCCACGCCCCCAGAAACAACCAGCTCCTCGACTACGAGAGGCTTGAGCGCCAGCTCGGTATTTCCCTAGGACCCCGACCATCCCGGGAGGACCTACGCCACCTCACCTTCTCTTACACCAACGACATGGTGAGGCTCGGCGGAGGGGAACCCCTCTCTTCGGAACACCTCATTCGGAGGACCTCGACAGTGCTTCCGTTCGGTCTCCGCAACGCCGCAAAGACCGTTAGCCACCTCGTGGCACAACGCATGATTCCACCACCCACAAACGATGAATTCGTGGAGGTGATCGAACACGTCGTGGAATCTTTCCACGACCTCCTCACAGAGGAGCCAGAGTCACCCTTTGGCTCTGACTCTAGCAGGGGGAGTCATCACCCCTCTCACGAATGCTTCATGATGGGTACCCCTGAGGGGCACGTCGAAAGCATCCATGAGGATGAGGCTTCCCCAACAAACGACCTCGACGACGAGGCCGAGAGGGAGACAGCAGCCCCGCCACGCATGCGGGTGGAGCAGCTGAAAGCTCGACACCAAGAGCTTAAGGAAGCGTGACTCTAGCTCGAGCAGGAGTGCGCGGAGCTTGATCGGGAGATCTAGCGCCATGGAGACGACGGGCGCGCACGCGCCATGGCCCGTGACGTGAACCGAAGGATCATTGCGGACAATGAAACTCTCCCTCGCTTCGTCCGAGCAAGCCAGAACATCACCGCTGCGATGGCCTTGCTCCATGGTCTTCCAAAGTCCACGACACCAGAGGATCATCGGGTCCACCACGAGATTCGCACGCTGCTCGAGCATGCGGCGGCGCAGCAAGCCGAGAGCTCGTTGTCTCGGTGATGCGAGTTCGACGCCAGCCAACGCACGCTCTCCGAGCACCCTGGCAGGAACACGTCGGTCCACTAGGCGCCACAGGGTGGCAGGCAGCGTGCTGCGTGGTCCCGGTGCATCAGCGTCTTGGCCGCAACCATGATGCGACACCCTCGATGCTTGCAGGCGTACCCATGATGACCCTAGAGAGGGAGCTAGCCGCGGCTATCACCCTCGCCATAGCGGACGCTACGACAGCGATGAGGACCGAAGCCCCAGCCCTGGCCTGCCGGAGCCTCAGGCCTTCGGTCGACACATCCTCAACGCTGCCTTC